CATCTCCCTGCTCCTCCTCTTTTTCGATTCTCTTCTTATTTTTCTTCTGCATGCTGCATCACTTTCTTCTGATTCCGAATGCACATTTAGCTGACATATATTATGAGTCGCAAGACCCATTGCTGCTAGACGAAGATTAAATCATAGTGTAAAGAATTTTTTGGGAAAACTATAGGTTTAAAAACTTTCTAGTAATCTCTCGTAGAAAAATGAAAAGTAACTAGCTCATGAAAATGATTAAGTTTTTATAACCTACCTGTTCAATGAAAGACATTCCTCTCGGAGATCAATACAATATTCAAGTGACAAAGATGCAAAAGAAATTGAGGCTAAGATAAATATGGCTGTGCAGACCTCAAGAAGACGGGTTTCCTGATACTTAACAATAGAACAAGTATCTTAGCGTCGAAAATATGATATCTGATGGCGTGTGTCCACTGTGAGAGATACGTCGTGGATTAGCCTTCAATTTGTAAGATAGGCAGAGGCGGGTACATAGGAGCTGAAATAGTGGTATCTTGGACATCTCATGATTGGTTGGTAGCAGTCAAATCTTTTGCCTCTATCTCATGAGATTCCTGGTAGGGAATCACATAAAAAATCGATAAATAAATGCATTGATAAAAAAAAAATGATGGGAGCATTGTGTGAACGTTGCCGAATTTCCCTCCACAACACATTTATTTTTGAGAAAATTAATGCTTATTTTTCATCGAAATTTTTAGATAAAATGAGGCCCGATTACATTTTTCCTATCCAAGGCTGTGTTGTTCAAGTAGTCTTTGAAGTACCACTGCACCACTATTTACAAATGAGACCAACGGAACCAACACAGTACGGGGCATTTTTTTAAAAACGGGAATTCAGGATGAAAAAGACATTTCTTCGTTTCGTCGAAAAACTATGTTCACAGTAAAATGGATTGATAATTTTTTTTAGAATGTATCGGAAATAGGTTTAAAACCGAGACAGACACTTGGAAATCATTACTTTTGATTCAAAACAATACTTTTGTGGTAAAAATGTTTTTGAATGAAACGGACGATATAATGTTCGTGAAGGCAAAAAACGGAAATAACTTTTAAAATTGTTATAAAATACTTTACTCAACATCAACTGTACCTACTCAATGATTTACTGAACTCATATTTTATGCATTGGAATATTATTAGAAGCACTATTTGATGAGAAAATTGAATTTTAAAATAGTTTCTCAAAGCGCTTACGTGTATATTCTAAGTGTGTAATCTCCGTGACATTCTATTTTCAAGAGTTGCTCTTTCTGAGGTTTACTTATTTAATGAAACTTTGAGGGGACGGAGGGGTTCCTCCTCGCATGGGTCTAGGGATTTTAGGTCATTTTTTATTCCGAACAATGAATCCTTTATGACGCTTTAAAGTGCCAACTTTAAATGTCGTAACATAAAAACAGCCCTATGAAAATAGAGCAAGGGAAAGGACGCGCTTTGACGACGGCGCAGAGATACAACTATTCGTGCTTGATGGATGTCCGTGTTGCATCTGTAAAATTGAAGGCGCGATGGCGCTGAGCGTGAACTCGAACTGCTCCGCTTTATACTGCTAATAAAGAGTCGTCTCTCCGATTCGGGAGAAAAGTTAAAAAACGAGGCCCAATTACGCCTTTTTAATATTCAGCTGTGTTGCTCATGCAGCTCTTAAGTACTTCCACAAATAAAACGTATGGAAACAAACACGATGTGGAAATAGAGCAAGGGAAAGGACGCGCGTTGATGACGGCGCAGAGATACAACTATTCGTGCTTGATGGATGTCCGTGTTGCATCTGTAAAATTGAAGGCGCGATGGCGCCTGGCGTGAACTTAGAATGCTCCGCTCTAGCTGCCAATAGGGTGTCGCTCGAATCCAGAATGAAAGTTATCAAACAAGTCTAAGTGGTCAAGCATGCGGCGATTTTCTTCAACCCGGTAGTATGGGTTTTGACACAAAAATTATCTTATTTAAAAAAGATGCAACATGATGTTAAATTTAATTTACGAGTAGCACTAGAATTTATCCTGAACTCTCTGTGGTAAAAGGCAGAGCAAATAGACATGAATTTTTTGAAAATCGTTCTACTAACAGTGGAGCTCTTGCGTAAGTCAGAAATATGGGATTTAAGCACAGAGTCCTGCGTAGAGTTCCGCGAGAAACACGACGGTACCACTCGCTTTTTTTGAAATCAACTGCAAAATTCAAAAAAAGCTCTCAAAGTTGAGGCCGCAATGGAGGGAATATCCCACGCTACCCTGAGAGTTCACCACTCTAACAAGACAAACTCTCTAAGCGCACAGAAAGGGAGCAAATATATCAACAGAGTTGCCACTTTTTTGGGACTCCAAAACTGAACACTCGGTAACCCTGCTAATGTATTTACTCCCTACCTTTACATGGAGAGTTTTTCTTGATAGAGAGGTGGACTCTTAGGGTAGCGTGGGGTACCTCTCCATCACGGCTTCAACTTTAAAAGCTTTTTTTGAGCTTTGGAGTTGATTTCAGAGCTAACCAGTGGCACCATCGTGTTTTCCGCGAAATTTTACTTAAAATTAGCTCTTAAATCGCAAATTCATGACATACGCAAGAGCTCCATTTGGACTTCTCGGGCTACGGTCCCTTCTTCCGTGGACTGTCAAAGTAGATGCTTACTCATTGCCGGGATTTCCTACAATAGATCGTATTCGATTTAGCAAACAGGTGTGATTGCATCGATATCGATTGGTTCAAAAAGTAGACATAGCCTCAAGAGTCAATTTAGAAATCTAAGGGAACGGGTCTTTTGTCATTGCTTTTTTATTCTTTCGAGTACTAAATGGCAATGAAAAATGTAATTGGTGGTAATTTTCTCATTTTCAGCTTTTCCAACTTAAATTCAAAAATTTTCGTTTGAGGTTATGTTCTACTGTTTTGAACCAAACGATACATCGAACCATTCTCAAATACGACCCATTAAGGTGATTCGTCAAGCTCAAGTGACGTGGTCGAACTGGCGTGCGATATATCGCATCGATAACTTCAAAAATCTCGGCGAATTTTGAATTTTTAACAAAAAAAAGGACGATAGCCCCAGCGCATGAGCCTGAAGAATCATTTTAAACCCAGAAATTGGCAAAATTCAGAGCAATAAAAGCAGAATAGAGTTTGGAGAAAAAACCTCGCATTCGATTCAGCTATCGATTTCTGTATCGAACGCGAGGTTTTTTTCCTAACACTATCCTGCTTTCCATACTCTGATTTTTGTCGATATTTGGGTTTAGAAGGATTCTTCAGGCTTATGCGCAGGGGTATGTCCTTTTTTTATGATTAAAAATTCAAAATCTGCCGAGATTTTTGACCAAATCGATGCGATATGTCGCGTACCAGTTCGACCACGTCACTTGAGCTTGACGAATCACCTTATATTACTGATATCAGAATTGATTAGGGTGAATAAATTCGGGGGCCTTTAATGAAGAAAAGCGATTCTAATGAGAGCTATCTGACAAGCGAGTCCTTGCGGCGAGGAGGAATAGCGCGCCTTTATTTCACTTTTCAATGCCCAGATCATCGCTGCACAAAAGCTTGCCAAAACGTTATTTCCTGTGCACCGTCGTCCTCCTGTAAATATTACTTTTCTTTCGCTTTCAATTCAAGGAAACGAATAAAAACATGGCGGGAGGGAGAGTGCGGCGCGGCGGCCCCGCCTCATTATTTTGCTCTCCTCTTCCCCGACAGTGGCGTGGCGTGAATAATCGATTATCGATATCTCGCCATTTGAAGCTATGGTAAAGAATCGATTACTAAGAAGTTCGCTGCGAACACCCTGATAATCGATCTTCTTTCATAGGTTTAAATGGCATAACAATCGATGTATCGCAATTCACGCCACGCCACAGCCCGAAGGAGACGCTCTCTTGTTTTTAACGTCTCATTTGCATGTACCTACTACTTTAATTTCAATTCTCACGGGCTCGGGGCTAGCAGCATCCCGGAGGGCCGGATAATACCCCCCCCCATTCCCCCATCCCCTAAACTATTCAGATGTCTCGTCTAGTTCTTTTTTAATATTCTCCGTTGTCTTAGCCCGACACCTTTATTATGTTACTGTTTTTTTTTGTCATCCCTTAATCAGCGTCTCGGGTAGCGTGTATTCTGCCGTGCTAAGGAAGAACGCCGTATGAACATTCGAGAGTTGCCAAATTTCCTTGGGTAAAATGTTTATTTTTGGGGAAAAGTTACGAATGTTTTTCCTTGAAATTTTTAGAAGTTTTTGGTCGAATTTTAAACAAAATTATCTGAGAAGTTGGTAGGCAAATGTTCAAAAATTTTCCTGAAAATTGGTGATTTGCCAGGAGAAATTTGGTAACGCCTGAGGCGAAGGTTCATGCGGTGTCTTTCCTTAGCACGGTAGTAAGTGGTTGTGTAGATTCTAAAACGGAAGAACGTAGATACATTTCAACTTTGCTTAGTTTCCATTCGCAAATTTTGTTTTTACCAGGAAACCTACAGACATTTTCGGCTCAATTTCACAATCTTTTCTTCCGATTGCGGGCAAAAATTACTGGAATTTTCGAAAGAAACTGCACAGTCATGATCTTGTACGAAGTTTAATTGCTTGAAAAAAGTATGCAATCCTGGAATGCAGTTACGTTTATGTATCTATGTTATGTATCATACGCAGTTATGTATCTTGGTTAGTAGGTGTATCTTTCAGTGATTCATTCCGTGCTTACGTGAACAGGTAATGATGTTAGCGTAAAATAATAATTCAATTATTTCCTGGTAAGATGAACAGGTTCGTGCGGTGAACGCTCTCCAACGTCCTAACGTTAGAACCAACCCCTTGTTTCTTTTTCAGCCTCCCCTCTTTTCTCTTATTTGTAACTTTATTTTTCCTTTTATAATCCTTTGTTCTTATAATACAAAGGTACAAAAGTTAAAGTTCTTATCCTCTTTCTTTTTGAAAGGTGCTAATCGTAAATTTAAAAAAATTAAATAAGTCAAATCTAAACGCAATATTAATTACATATTTATTGAAAGAATATTACTGACAGAAAATACAGGAAATATGATTTACACAATAGGTAGTTTGACAGTGGGATTAGAATCTACTGATGAGTCTCTTCTTCGGATTCGGATGCATATTGTAAATAGACATAAAGTGGAGAGAGGTGTTTTCTCAAAATTCCTAAAACGGAATTTTCAATGAAGTCAACATTCTCTGGTGGGCAATAATCATCTTCACTGGACCTGCGACAGAAAATCGAGCATTCAACCATTAAATAAAGTCTTGGAAAGAGGAGACTAAAGCATACATTAGGAGCAAAGGTAGAGTTTACTATACTATTGACCAGTTTTGTGTGCCTCTGCAAAGATACCAACCAATGAAAGAAGCTTAATTGATCTCTTGATTCAAGAGGTATTGTTATTTTCCCTCCTTTTAGTGTATTTACTAATGCTATGTCACACTTAATTTGTACTTTTCAACTCATTTGAACAGGAATTTTAATCATTCTTTATCTTAAATCAATGTTTATTGCTCACATTTTAACGACACAACAAAAAATTGCGGATTGTAAGTCCTGCAAGTTGTACTTCGAAAAGTATGACTATTGGGACAATATTTTAGAAACAAAGTCTGCCTGACTACTTCTGGTAATATTTGTATCAAGTACAGCGATCAGCTGATAAAATAATTACGATTTAGCAACACGATAGCGAGCCGTTTCTCAAAAGTGAATTTCAATCAATTTTTGAGTGAGAATGGCTCAAAATTGCTACTGGGACGTTCCAATTATCAAATCCCACCCGGGGCCCCCCTTAAACACCCACTCTGATCCAAAGAGTCCTCCAAGCCCCCCCCCCCCTTCTTTGGGATGTATGTATGTGCCCCCAGACTTTCAATAGGGGAATTTTCCATTTGCCCTTCCACTTCCAAAATGAGAGCCTTCGGAGAATGTTTCTCTGCGCCTATCCACCCCTCTTATTTGAGGGCCTTGGAGGACAAGGCGCATAGGTGCACTTTTGACTATTTCGATAAATACGTGTTTGAAGTTTCGAAATTGCATGGATCCTTATGGCGGAGAGAAAGTTCAAACTGACTTTTCGATGCTTAAAAATAGGAATATGGGCGCGAATTTTTCACATCATATGCACCAAGACTAGTTTTACTTGAGATCATTAATACCTCAATTTTTCAAAAACTGCACTTATGCGCCTTGTCTTCCAGACCCCTCATATGAGGTGCTCCTCTGTGTTTTCTCCCGTGACGAAAATATCTTGGTTCTACCCGTGGTTGCGTTGTGAGATGGACTGAAAAGCGGTTGCTACCTGGATATGGTGACGAGCGTAGGTTTGCCTGGCAAAACTTGAAGAAAACTATCGAAGGTGGAGTTGAGAAGTCTTTGTAGGGTGGGAACCGAAGTGACGTGGTGCGGTAGCTCCGTGTCGTCCATAGTGCAGCCGGCGTCGTGAATTACCTCCCACTCTACCTCATTGTAAAATTGCCTTACCGATTCTGCGATCCCTTTCACAGCTTCCAACCTGCAACCAAAAAGCAATGCGATTAAACGATGGGTTGCACCTTTTGAGTTTGAGATGGAGTTACTGTGTGTTGAGAGTATGGGCATGGCGGACCTTCTTCTCATTGAATCAGCTATAATGGGCCTCATGACGCTCTTAGGTGTTAGGAACCAAAAAATGCCGGACGTCATTGCATTCATCAAAAGATTCAAAATGTCAGGAAATGAGGCTTCGTTTCCGTGCATTTTATTTGTGGCACATTTGGACGTAAATCTATCAAACGGAACTAAGCGCCATAGGGGGAGAAGGGAGAGGAGGGCTCGGATTGGCGGGTGTTGCGGAACGCGATGCTCGTTCCGTCCTAAACTCGCAATGCTTTTCCTTGGCGCTTAGTTCCGTTTGACAAGACGTGATATCCGGGATTCTAAAATCCTTAAAAGGAACTCAAATTGGCGCTTAGTTCCGTTTAACAGATATACGTCCATTTCATAAACTGATAAACTTTAAATCAACAAAAACTTTATTCGCTCAACACGACGTATAGTTCTGCAAGACAGAACTAAAACACGAATTTCCTTGTAAACTTGTGAATATTTTCTTCCCAATTTTTTAGATAATTTTGCTCGCAATCTCACCTAAAATCCCTGAAATTTTCAAGGAAAAATATTCATAAAGTTCCTCAAAAATAAACATTTTATCGAAGGAAATGGCAACTCTCAAATGTTCATACGGCGTTCTTCCTTAGCACGGCAGAGCTCTTGACTATACTTCTCATCGAAATAAAGAAATGAAACTCAAGAAAAAGGATTTGCTCCTCCTTGGACGAATAATTTACAGCTACAAGAGGATGAGATACGACAAAGATTACACAGATCCAACCCGGAACTCGCCTTAGTTAACAATTACAACTCCATGAGCGATCACGGATTGACCGAAGCCACGCCTTAATGAGTGCATTATTCAAGCTCAATAAAGAGCCGACAAGAGTGGCGACCGAAGAAGCTCGACGGAGGAGGGAAGGGGGGAGGGTAGAAATTAATTTGATCAAAGAAAAACGAGGCAGTCGCGACAAAGGCTCAAATTGAATAAAATTAAAGCAACTCGAATGAGAAAGCGCGGTGAGCAAAATCGCACAGTTTTTATTTCCTTGTTCTTATTTCCTCCTCCTTGGAGCAATAATTAAACCTCGGGGTATCGGAGAGGTCATTTGCATAAGGCGTTGGCCGTTGTCTTAGCTGGGGGCGCCACCGTCGAGGGGTAGCGAACAAAGTATGGTAATTCGGACAGGGATTGTTACCGTCTCCTCGGAGCCACACCGTTTTGTCTTTGACCGAGTTATCGGGCGAGTCATTTAAAAGTTTCGTGATGCGAAAATTAACGCGTCGATTGTGCATACAGCAGGAGGGAGGAGGGACCCGAGGCGAGTTGAACGCCGATCCTGGCGGAATATTGACAATATCCCGCGCATTGACGGGGTCTAAGTTGGTAGGACTATGCATCAGAGGCTGTGAATAGCCTGGTTTTAATGGTCACTCGCGTGTCGTTTTGAAATCTGCGCCGAAAAAACCTCTGCACACATTTACACAGGCTTCCTTGATGAAAATTTCAGGAGACACTAACTGAATGAACACGATGTCTTGATGTAAGACTCTACAATCATACATCAAGAGTGATGATCATCCTCCTCAGGTTTTTTCCCACCATCCAGAATTTCTGGGGAGGGGGGGGGATAGATGATACTATTTTCAACTCTAGGGGGCAGGCCCCCCCTGGCCCCCCTTCGACGCCCATGGATAAAAAACTCACAACTAACACAAAAAGGTAATAACGAGTTATTAATCAATGCTGAAGAAGCTCGATCAGGAAAGAGAGAGGAAAGGAAGGAAGGAGAACGAGGGAGTGGTGGTGGNGGGGGGGGGGGGGTAAAGAAAGTTTAAAATTTCACGGAGAAAGTCGAAAAAGCGGCTTGTACGTCACAAAATTTCCGATTTCCAAGGATGATTCGGCAACAGCGTCGCGGACGTGGATATTATAGGTACCCTCGACGAAATCCGCAGGTGATTTTTTAAATCGATTCGCCTCGGTGGCGCGGCATTGAATCGGGGATCAATCGGCAATTAAAGGTCGATGAGCGATCGGTAATCATCGCCGCGATTTTTGTCCCCCTCCTCTCGTGGCTGCCTAATTCCCATTGTGCCGACCCTCCGATCCTCGATCGACACTTGTATTCATCTCTAATTGCCGCACGTTTCGCGGGTTTGTCACAAAACCGGCTGATTAAGCTCTCCTTCGCGCTGCAAGTGCGAAAAGAGGCCCATGGAAGGAAGCCTTTGATATCCCACCCGTCTTTGTGTTTGGACGCATTTATGCTCTAAAAGGACCTATGTCTCACGTAAAGTCTATGCACATAGTTCTTTCGGCATAAATACGTCCATTTATCTTCTTTTGTCGCAATATTTGCCCTGTTTTGACTCGCCGATCAACCTGTCGCTGTTCATCCACTCACGCCACTAAAACGCCCCCATTTGATTTTTTAATTATTTTCATTTATTTATTTTATTTTTTGAGGGGAGGGGGTGGGTTGTGACTTACCTATGGCGTTGTCAAACATGAGTTTGCTCTTACCCCAATCGGAGTCTGATTTCCGACCTATATACAACATCGGCGGATCCAGCAAATTGGGAACATTGATTTTTCTCCATTTAAACCCATGGAAATGTATCGATGCTTGAAGGGCCAGGTGCTGCGACATGAATCGATGATTTAACAGAGGTTTCAATGGAGGAAATCCTGTGTTCCCAAGTTGCTGGATCTGCCCCTGATACAACGATGAGGCCCGGGAGAGTCCAATTCAATGGCTCAGTCAGATTGGAGTACCTCTGTAGAAAGAGTATGGAGAGAAAGTTCGAATGAAAAGTAGTAAAATGAAATAAACTCAAAAGTGGGTCCTTCTGAGCACGATAAAGATTATTTCCCATTGAAAGAATAAGGCATACGAAACAATACGAGTTTGTGCAAAGTTAGAACTGTTTTTTCTTTTCCAAAATGTTTTGCAAATCTAAACCTTGAGAGCTAGCTTTATGAAAGATAGCCTTGACATTAAGATAGCCGGTTTACTAAGTAGTAGCGGTATCAGATTCACTACTATGGTACTAAATTTTGAAACTCGAAAACATGCTATTCAAAAGCTCGATTCCCTATGATCCAATTCACGAATTATTTTCTAGAGATATAAATCACATTATGCCTAAAATTGAGAAAAAAAAAAAGAAATAGAAATAGGAGAAGGAAAAAATAATTTTATAGACACGGAGGGAATACAATTATGTATAAATTCCCAATAAAAGCGCGACGGGTATGTATCCTAAATCGCCCCCACTGCCCGCTCAAGAACTGCAAAAAAACTGCAAAAAGAGGATCAATTTTTACTCCGTAAAACTTCAATGGGTCCCGTCAAAAATTTTGAAAAATCCAATCATTCACAATCACACGGTCCCGGAAGCCGCCCTGGTGAAATCTTCAAACGCGCGGTAGACATAGCGTCATGATACCCACGCTAAAAATAAAAGCCGGAGGTGACAGGGTGGAGGAAGGGGGGGAGGGGAAGCCATTAATGAAAGAGCTTTACATATGCAAACTAGGGGTGTACCTTATTAAGATTTAAAAATAAAGAAGTACATTAAAAAAACTAACCGAGGAACAGGTTCCCAGGCGAAAGACAATACCGGGAGGACCCTTCACACGTATGCAGATGAGCCCGGCGAGCCAGGCCGGTGTTACTTAAACAAATTTGAGCGGGCTGGAAGGGTTAGCGCGTCCCGCTCAGTCCCTTCAGTTCTCGGCAGCAGTGACCATCGGGCTCAACGGAACCAAGGCCCAAGTGGCTTTCCATGTTCTGTGCGTGGAAACTTTGTTTAAAAGATCAAAAGTTCAAAAGTTTAAAAGTAAATTTAAAGTTCGCTTCAAAATTAGGGAGGCAACTATGGAATTTCATTCATTACGTGCAAGTAAATCATCTATCGAATGTGTGTGTGGTGTTTTTGTGACTTATTACCTTGCAGGGGTAGGTGTCGGTGTTAGAGGTGACGTGAAAGTATATTTTCTTATTGATTAGCTTTTCTAAAATGATCGCCCGAGTTCGGTCGAATATTCAATCGGCAAAATTAAGCAGGAATATGCATTTTTGAGGCAAACACGCAATAATGCAATTCAAGATTTTTTTTAAAAAGAATATTTCCGTAAAAATTTCAATCTAAATAAAAAAAAAACAAAAAAAATCTTTCTTATTGAAAAAAGAAGAAACCGGAAAAAAAAAAAAAAAAAACAGAACAGAAAAAGCAGAAAAAAATGAAGTACGATCGTGATCGGGTTTCCTTTCAATCATTATGTGTGGAAGGAAAATTCAGAATGTGGAAAACAGTTATAACAGGATTATGTTGTCCGTCGACGTCAACATGCGCAATTGGAAGGGTATTGCGTGATAACGAAATAAGGGACATTTTTCCCTAAAATGAAAAGTTTATCATTTGCAGTGAAATGCGTCTTGAGGTGTGCTCTGGGAATACAATTGAACACCTACTAGACCTACAATCTTCAACCTCGCCATTCAGTTTTGAGTTTATTTGTATCATTAAATTCCGTCTCATTTTTCACCTTTATTTTCAATTTTATACTTCGGCAAAGGGATTAATTTAATTGAACATTAAAATTAAATTAAATTTAATTTCAATTTTCTTTAAGCAACAACATAGCAATAAGTTTTGATCCTTATAAATCAATCAATATTGAATTTTGGAAAGTTATCATGTCAAGCAGAAGACGAAGCAGAAGTTATCACGTCAATATCAGCTTACAATATCCTAACTGATTTATTTCCATTCTAAGAAAATCGATGTCGGGGAAATCATTTTTACATTTCAAGAAAGGAAATGTACATAATTATCTCCCATAAAAAGTACGAGTATTTTATTAAGCTTTTATTGCGAATATATTCTCTTCACGTACGATTGTTTTTTACCGAT